GTGAATGTCGCTTCCGTTTCCGCTGAATAGTCTATACATAATTGTTACACACACACACACACGCGCACAGCTGGCAGACGACGTACGATAATAACAACAATATATATTACAGATCTGTATGTCACATCATATGCATGTCATACTCACAGAGAGAGAGAGAGAAAGAGAGAGAGAGAGAGAGAGAGAGAGAGAGAGAGAGAGAGAGAGGTCGATAACATAATGCTAGAGATGTCACATAAAAGTTGTTTTGTCAATGTGACTCACTCAATCGTGCGATGAATGTGTGGAGCGTTGAATACGTCCACGTTCAGACACATCCGTCTACACTTGCAAATGCAATGCAGGTGAGTCGTTTCAACCTGCGGCCAACGCCCCGCCCTTTCCGATTCAGACTTTTCAACTTTTCCACCCTGCCACTGATTTGCCACCGTTTCGACCAAAACCTAGCGCCCAGTCCCACGGGCAGCTCCCAGTCCCGCCTTTTTCAAAGAAATTGGCCCCCCCCCCCCCCCAAGATTCACCCTGCCGCTGTCGAGCGCATCGGCTCTCGCCTTTTTCGCAAAGGCGAGAACCCTCCCCGGCAACGACGCCACCTGTCGAGCGCATCGTCTCCCGCCTTTTTCGCAAAGGCGAGAGCTCTCCCGACCATGTCATGCAGAAGTTTAGCAAAAACAAACTTTGAGACAACTCGGGACGACGTCTAACTCATCCCGCGAGCTGCCGAGATGGTCGTGGTCGCGTTGCGCCTTTGCCACTCTGGTCGGGTGCGGCAGCTGTACATCCCGCGGTCCCCTACGACAGGATAGGTTTCCGCGGGGCATAAGCTTTCCTTCCCTAAGGGGCTGTCACCACTCTTAGGGGTGTATCCCTACCGAGCTACTGACCCACGTGCGAAAACTTTTAAATGCAATTGCAGAGGTCGGTCAACCGAGGGCGTTTGCTCGTTAGGGATATGCCCCTAAGGGTGGTGACAGCCCCTTAGGGAAGGAAAGCTTATGCCCCGCGGAAACCTATCCTATCGTAGGGGACCGCGGGATGTACAGTTGCCGCACCCGGCCAGAGCGGCAAAGGAGAGACGCGACCACGACCGTCTCGGCGGCTCGCGGGATTAGTTAGACGTCGTCCCGAGTTGTCTCAAAGTTTGTTTTTGCTAAACTCCTGCGTGACATGGCCGGGAGGGCTCTCGCCTTTGCGAAAAAGGCGGGAGCCGATGTGCTCGACACCGCTGCTTTGCCACCGTTCCAACCAAAACCCAACGCGCGGTCCCGCATTTTTCAAAGAAACTGCCACCCCCCCCCAAAGTGTTGTGCCTGCATTTGCCTGCATTTTTCGAACATTCCAATGACCAAATGAGGTTGAATCAACGAACGGTATAAGGAAGGACGGCGAAAATGTCTCAGGGAGGGGAAACGCACCCCTGACATGCTTCGAACTTACGTTGAAATTTTAATGATGTTTCAACTCTCAGGGGGGGAAAAACACAACTCTGACAGGCTGCAAACTTTCTCAGTTTTGGGAGGCAGCGCCACAAAGAAACCCCGCCCCTATGCTCGACTTCGACTTTTGAACTTTACTTGGATGTATGTGTGAGAAAGGCACTAGACTATCAACTTGCTACTCTGTGTTGTATGCTAAGCTACACTCTCGACTGGCTACTCAGACCGTCTGCTCGGACGTGTGTGTATGTGTAAGAGGAGGGGAGGGGCCGAGGGGGAGCGAGCGACCGACCGAGAGAGAGAGAGAGAGAGGACTCTCTACTGGCTACTTGGGTTGTCGACCCGCTACGCTATAGTCGCCTGCCACGTTTCAGCGAGCTGGAAGCGAGCTATGAACGTGACGTTCCAGAACTTCGTCAACAAGACACGGCTAACTCAGGGGATGATCAACTTCTGCGTCATCGTGTACATGGACGACATCCTGGTCTACTCGGAGACCTATCATGGGCATGCATAACACATCGAGTGGACCTTGGGAACTCTGAGAGATGCTGGGTTCAAGATCACGTTGGAGAAGAGCGAGTTTTTCCTCTCGGAAATCCCATTTTTGGGTTACGTGGTGAGACGTGGAGGACTGTGGCCAGATTCGAGGAAGGTCGCGGCAGTGAAAGACGCCCCAGTTCCTACGTCACTAACGCAGGTTCGAGCTTTCTTGGGACTAGCATCGTACTACCGTCGCTTCATCAAGGGCTTCGCCGCGATAGCGCGGCCTCTGACGAACCTACTACGAAAAGACCAGCCCCTCAGTTGGGACGCAGAGTGCGAACAGGCCTTCGCCACCCTCAAGGACGCCCTGGCGACGACACCTATTTTGATCCGGCCAGACCCTACGAAGAAGTTCATTCTTATTACGGACTTGCAGCCAGAGGCGATTTCCGCTATTCTAGCACACAAGGGGAACGACGGCCGAGAACACGTCATCGAGTACGCGTCTCGTACAGTGCTAGACGAACGAAGGAACGATTCAACCCCACAGGGTGAATGCTATGCCGTAGTATGGGGGATTCAACACTTCCATCCGTATCTCTACGGACAGAAGTTCCTCCTTGTAACCGATCACGAGCCATTGCTGGCTCTCAAGAGACTCACTAATTACATGGGTATGATTGGACGGTGGGCGGTGCGCCTCCAGGAGTACGCATTCGACATCATCCATCGAAAGACAGAAAGGCACGGCAACGCGGACGGGCTGACACGTCTGCATCGACCAGCTAAGGTACCTAAAGGAGAAGAGATCATTCCGTGGAAGGAACCGGAATCGACGAATGGACCCAAGTACGGACAAGTGGCAGTCCTTCCACGTGGCAAGAAGCAAACAAGTGGCAATGGGCGACAAAGGTAACCTTGCAACTCCTCTCTCTCCCCTCTTGTCTTCATCTCTTCTCTCTCTCCCTGACAAATTTTGCTATTTTTGCGAAGCGATTTCACGTGTCTACTCGGTCTCTATGCATCCTTCACGTGGAAGGACTGCCACTTGTCCGTACTTGGGTCCATTCGTCGATTCCGGTTCCTTCCACGGAATGATTGTCGGCAACGTGTCGTACGAGCCCACGGCTCGTGCATTCAATACAGAAATAACGATAAACCTTGGTTGTGCCCCTTGTGTCGGGTTGATAAGATCCCGACCGAGGCTCGGTTTCTTGAGGCCACGTCAGAAGGGTTAGAGAAGAGCCGAAAGTTTAGAAGGGCCGAGGTATGGACGGACATTGCTTTAATCGCCACCTTAGTAAGTAACCCCCTCCAGGACTTCACCAAGGAGGACCGGAGGAGGGCCAATGAAAGAGCTCGGGACTATCGCTGGAACGGGGGTCGGTTAGAAAAACGAAAGACGGATGGTAGTGAGATTTGGATGGTAGTACCGCACCCGTTCATGAGGCATGACTGGGTTAAGACGACGCATGAGGAAACTGCAGCCCATTTTGCCGTACGGATCACGGAAGCGGCAATAGATAAAAATGAATGGTATTGGTCCAACATTCGTGACGATGCTAAATTCATCGTCCGGAACTGCCAACTCTGTGTCGCAGACAAGGCGCCGATTCAGCCGCCAAGATCGATAGTACCGACGGTAATCGAACGGCCTTTTCAGCGGGTTAGTATGGATACTGCCAATATTGTGGTACCACCTGACCCTAATAGCTGTGAGTATTCAATCCTGCTGGTGTTTGTAGACCATTTCTCGAAATGGATCGAGACGTATCCGTATCGAACAAGACAGGCGGCTGAAATTGCACGATACTTCAACCGTTTTTTAGGAGTGCACCAGGACACCGAGGAAATCCTGACCGATAATGGGGTAGAATTCAGAGCGGAAGTTTTGAGGAATCTTGTCATACACGGCGTCGCCATTCGGAATACTGCACCCCATATATCGCAATCTAATGGGCTGGTAGAAAATGCGAATAGGGTGATAAAGACAACACTATGACGAAACATCGTGGCACGGGATCCGAGGCCCTAGCCCGATATCGTAGATCACATCTTAGCAGTCCATCGAGGAACGACGGAACGCCCCACGAATCGACGAGCCTGAGCCCCTTTCAATTACGAACCAATTGTGTGGCCTGCGTTTCAATATCGAGCCTCCCAGATGAATCTTCGTTGAACCGACGGCCCACAAGGGCCACAGTTCGAGATAAGGCCAACCTAGAGCTGATGGAGCGGTCCCTTCCCCGATTAGCCCGGAAACGCCAACGGATGACCGTATTGGCCCAAGGCCGACAGGTCCGTAGCTACGAGGCCCGGAATGGGAATGCGGGACCACGGCCCCAGTATAATATGGGGGACATTGTGCAGATAAGGAAATGTGCTCGTCAGGGTAAGCTAGCGCCACGATTCTTCGGGCGATTCCACGTAGTCGAGCCTGGACCGAATGAAGTGAACACGGTGCGGCTCGTGCCTGAGGTCTCCGGCAGCCGATCGGCTCGTCTGATCACTCGACACGTGTCCTATCTGAGGCCCCTCCCTTCCTCTCCATCTCCAGCTGTGTCTGCTTCCTCCTTCGCTACAGAGGAGGACGACGACTCTTTATCGCCCTCTCCTCCTCCTGCATCTCTCGCCCCTTCTCTTACTCCGTCCCTGTCGCCATCGCCATGAGTTTTTCCACCGAGCGAGCTCTCGGCGATCACATGCTGGCGCCACGTGGCGACATCTCGGCAATCCGACAAGTTTGTCATCTGCGGATCAGTCCAGATCTTCTTCGGTTCACACAGTTCTTCAACACAACGGGGGTGTATGCAACAGCGAATTTCGATTTACGGCTCATCGTCAGACACTCGTTCTTGCCGAAGCATCGGCTTATAGTCAGTTGTCCGCACCTGGAATCAGCCACGTGTCGACCGTCGCCGTCTTCAGCGGTGACATCAGCGCAATAGATCCTCTACGGCATACGGCCATTCGGGCGGAGCTGCTGAAGTGGGGTCAACAGTTGGCGGCAGAGTGGGATCAGTGGCTTGCGCGGCACGGCGACAATCTCGTCGTCACCGACAACGTCAACGTCGGAGGGCTCCGTACGTCCCGACACGAGCCACTGGTGGCCTTTCCAGAACTCGTCCCCTTTCAACGCCCTCAATGAACCGATCCCAGCTATCTACCTTTGCTCTCCCCTCTCTCTTCCCTACCTTCTGGCAATCTAGCCTTTACCCCCATCTCTTCTTTCGTCTGGAATCACTCGATGTCCCCCTCCTCGATCAAAGACTGTGGGAACAGTGGTGCGAGCACTTCATCGATCTCTCGGTGTGTCTGATCGGGGTGCAGTTGACGTGGACACGGGACATCGAACACTGAGCCTGGATCGAATACGTGGAGCTGCTGATCATCCAAGCCTGGAGGACGGAGGTGGCAGGGGACCTTCTCGGATTTCTCTCCGGATCGGTATAGCCCGGCCATCGACAACTAATCGTGCGGGAACTCACAATCCCCCTCGCGCAGCTGGTCGACGATCTCCCCCTCGACGTCATCTCGCAGTGTGACGAAAGCCCAGTCCCGCACGTCCTTTCGCGAACACTGACGCCCTATCTGCAGTGGTTGGCTTGTCTTGAAGAGCAGGGAGGGAACAACAACCCGCCATCGCAAGAAGAGTACCTGAACCCGCGAAGGATAATTGACATCTCCTTCTTCCAGCCTCCCACGATCTCCGAAGATGAAGTATTAGCGTTGGAGGAGGAAGAAGAGGAGGAGGAAGAAGAAGAGGAAGAAGAAGAGGAGGAAGAAGAAGAGGAAGAAGAAGAGGAGGAAGAAGAAGAGGAAGAAGAAGAGGAGGGAGAAGAAGAGGAAGAAGAAGAGGAGGAAGAAGAAGAAACCCCCGAAGAAGGGAGTTACAGCGAGCATAGCGAGGGAGAGCAGAGCAAAGAAGAAGAAGAATAGGACGAGGAGCAAGAGGAGTCTGAGTGGGAAAATTTGGGCGAGGAGGCGGGCCGCACAGAGGCCCAGGAGGAAGATCCGGAGGCGGCGGCGCGGCGCAGAGAAGAGATCGCGGTTGGTAAGCAGCTGTTAGAATACGCGAGTGGAACGGATTTGTCAATCTCAGACGATCCGACCAAGGATCCGGAGCCGCCCAAGCCAGAGGATGGGAACCCTGCAGGCTGCTGCCGAGACTTTGAGCGCACAGGCCAGGTGGCGGCGAAGCCAATCCCTCTTCCCCTCCACCTCCACCCGTCCGACAGTTCGAGCTCGTACCGATGCGGGTCATCGGGCTTCGTCCCCAATCCTTATCCCGTCGTCCCCTTAACTACCTCACCTTCCGACAAATCACCACCCGCGTCACTTTCTCCCGCAATCCCTTTCCGATCGACACCTTCCGCCTTTTCTACGCCATCCGCCTTGCCGCCACGGTGCACCCGCATCCCTCTACTCGATGTACCACCCCTGTCTTTTGTCTTCATATCCTTCTCTTCAGTGCCACGTGGCGGGGCCACAACATAATCGAGGTCTACTACATGATTACGGGGACTATCCCTGCATGCGAAAACCACGATCGCTTCCGCATGGCCCTCCTTCGTACCTTCACAACCCTCTATCCCGATTACCTTGCGTCTCTTCCCCATGGCGGAACCCGCTTCCTGCGATTCCATCGGATCGTCCGATATCCGGAGCTTCCGGTGACAGTGGCAGGAATGAAAAGTTTTCTACCCCCGCTCTCGACTAACCCACCCCCTCGCCATGCCCCCATGTATCGCCTCCCCTTTCCCCTCCCTAGCCGTCATTGATGCACGGTTGATTGGCGCGTGCCACGGCGATGGCACGTATAATCCCCTCCTTGGATTGAAGAGAGCCCTTTCGAGTCCTGAGGAATTGATAGAAGAGAGCCACGTTAGCCACACTGGATGACGTCCACACTCTTTTGCATGGTAGGAGGAAACGTAGAGAGCTCCGCGTGTCAATCAATTAGAGAGATCGACATGTGTTGTACTGTCAAGCAAGCGGGAGCTTGCTTAAGATTGGAACCCCCTGGGCATCACATATGCGACGAACCGCTTTCTGTTTCGCGCGATTTTCTGCGCGATGACAACGAGGGGTCCTAAGATGGGAAGGTTGGGCCAATTACGTGAGATTGGGATTGAAGGAAAATTGCATCAGTGTCCTCGCTTCTTCGTCTTTTTGCGTCACTTCTTGTCGGATGGCTGGGTTCAGGGCCGGACAAGTCCCGGGATGGTCGATTGAGTGGCTGTCGCGCCGACAAAGGCGCGACTAATAATGTTTGACGTCGCTTCTTTTTTGTTCTGTTGTCGGGTTTTAGGCGTGGAGATCGCGTGGGAATTTTTGAGTTTTTCCTTTTGAATTTTCTCTTTCATTCCTTTTCGGATCTTGTCAAGCCATGACGGCTCTCGGAATATCGGACTTTCTTTTCGGTTCCTTTGGCAATAAGTTTTGGAATTTAGGAATTTGGGAATTCGGGATTTCTTTTGCCGCGCGTTGTTTTTCTTGCGCGCTTCTTTTTGCAGCTGCAGCGGAGCTCTGATTAGTAAGCGCCTTTAATCTCGTGTATAACTATAATTTTGGGCAGGTGCCATTGTAACTTTATCTCTCTTCTTGAGCTTCGTCTTTCCCGCCCTCCCCTTTCCTTTTTTTGTTGTGGCTGTCTAGCCCACGGGCTGCATGATCGGATCGATCCGTGGAGAGTGGTTACGTCCTCCACGCCGCGGTCTGGCCATGCAGAACATAGGCAATCCCTTCCCTTCTCTCTTCTTAAGTCCTTGCAATTTCGTGTTCTTTGCGCATGCATGCACACTATAAATTCTGGCTGTGTGATTAGATAACTCTCTTAACCAGTTGCTGGAATCTCGTGGTAGGGCGATCAGTGAGGGTCGACTCACGAGCGAAGTAAGAGGTAAGTTGAAGTGGGAGTCGGGCGACCCGACGAGCTGGTGCCGAATGCGCGGGGTTGACGCGTGGGGCTACAACGGACTGTAGCGCGCGGGCGAACCTGATGGGTGCAGGAGGACTAAGCGGGGTGATGACTTCGTGGGTGGGTGCGTGACGACGGACTGTCCGCATCGGAGAGAGAGAGAGAGAGAAAGGAAGAGAGAGTTGAGGTTGATGGACGTGGTTTTGCAATTTTCTTTCTCTTTTCCTTTTAGTTTTGTATATAAGTTTTGATTTCGGCTCGATCGATTCGCTCTCATTTCCCTTCGGCATCTTTATTTCAATATTGGTCCTTATATGATGTCTCATTCTGTCTCGGTCCTCCCTCTTTTGTGTATATGGGATGAACTAGCTCGGATGGAATGATATGTTTGTCGTTTTTGCCTAGTCATCATCTGTGCTTCTCACCTTGATCCGCTGTTATTATGGTAGGAGTTCTGATGTTGTTGCGATGTCTGATGAGTGATGACACCTTGCATGCTCGGAATTGATTGCTTGTGGGACCACTGAGTGATTAGATGGTTGGGTAAGTTATCCATGACACGTGGCGATTTTGCATGAGGAATTAAACTCTCACTTTTGCCTAAGCGTCAGCCAACTGGCCCGGGTGCAAGCGAACACCTCGTGTGGATACGTGTAAGCGCGATCTGAATTGCGCGGCCTACACGTATCCACGCGCGGCGAGTCGCGATCGTTGACGAGCCTGGGACCTCCAGTATCGAGATAGGCGAGGAATTTTCCTCCTTTCAAGCACCTGAGCTGGCAGGAATTTCCGACACCATATCTTGAGATCCCCCTATCAGTCAGATGCGTACGGAAGGCTTCCACTACACCGCAATGACAAGATAACGTACACACGAGACTCGGGGTACTTCGAGCACTTGGAAGAAGAAGAATATCTTAGGCGGAGATACCCGGAATTTCCCTGCCTAACCGAGAACCGATTGTGCCCCAGGGAGTTTCACTGTGCCGTAACCAGCGATCCGAGGTGTCCCTATTACCCAACTACGTATAACACGCAATACTTCAGATCCCCCGGCTTCATCGTGATCGCTACCAATTTCCCTCCCTTCCATCTCCTCCTCCCGTACCACCAACTTACGGTAGTACCGTGGAATTCCATCGCCCCGTATTGGCCCCACACGCCGTGCATAAACTGCAGACGACGCGGCAACCGCCGATCCTCTGGAATTACGGAGCCTAACTGTAACACGCGACGACAACTAGCATGCGCTTGCACCCGGAGGTTCGACTCCTAGGAATCGCAACCCTCACGGACGGACCTCTGCCGAACCGCTGTCACCAAGCAGGCGGATCGGATGGCCCGGGATGCGCTGCGCATGCCATCTGGCTTATGCTGCACGACATCGACCACCATCAGACCGCAAGCAACCCGTCCCTTAGCCTTATTGCGCCTATGCCCTTGAAACCTTGTCACAGGAGATCTCAGTTCTGACCTAAGGCTCCACCCCCACTTTCCCCAAAATCCTTGGCACACCCCTTTTCGCACTTCCAAGCCCACATCCTACTCCGATCAGGAAGTCGGCCCGGGCGTGAGGTTGGGCGTCACAATACACACATGCAATGATATACAAAACGTGAGAGGCTTTACTTTCACAGAATACACGTCCTGCCCATGGCATGTGATGAAAACATCGTCGCGATTACGATTCCGCGCGCGCGCGCGCGAGAGAGAGAGAGAGAGAGAGAGAGAGAGAGAGAGAGAGAGGGCTGGAACGTTGTACAGTCCACCAACCAGCGATAGGCGCGCAGTGCCATCACAACACCCCTCTCCTCCTTCATCATCTTCTTCCATAGATCGTAACCTTCAGATGAGACGAGATACTGACTTGCAAGAGACAACGCCCGCCCCCTGATTTTCGTCCAGACTTCTTCTTTCCCGCCTTTGCATTCATCGAGGTCGCCGTTGCCCTCGTCGTTGACTCAGACTGTCCACCACTAACATCCTTTCGTTTGTCGGAAGAGGGAGCCGCCCCTGCATCTGGGAAAGCAGTTCGCAGCCAGGAGGCTGCGCTATACCAGTTGCATTTTGTCGCGTAGCGAGGACGTCTTTTTCAGGAAATGTCGACGACGGCAAAAAGGGTTTATAGGGCGGTAACATGGGTAATTGAAGGGTGCGGTCGCTGTCGGGGCAGAGACTGGTAGGCCGGGTGGTCGCGAGTGTGGTTGGAGGGGGGCAGACCAGCGGTCACGAAAAGTGGTCGGCGGGCCGTTTTCATGGACGGCGGCCGGGTTTCCATTTCGGGCGATATCACGCGAGGGACCCGGTGTGATTTTCGGATTCGGAAGGCTGGGCCGAAGTGGGTTTGGAGGTGTGCACAGCAGAATGCTGGCGGCAGTCGGGGTGTTCGTATTCGTATTCGATTTGAATTCACGCGTCATGCTGTGCTGTAGTAGTAACGGATGCATCTTTCCCTTCTGTGTGGGAAGATGCACTCGTTGTTTTTCCTGGGAGGAGTTAGGGCTTCGCCACACCTTTGTCGAAAAGGAAAGAGAATGAATGCATCTTCAGCAGAAAGTGGTAAGATGCATCCCTTGCTCTCGCTCCCGAGTGGCTGCGCTTCCGCGCTTGCGCGGTACACAGTAGAAGATGTGGCAGTTGTGGACGACTTGGCAGCAGACGCCCTCTTGGCAGCAGATGCCGTGACAGCAGCTGATGAGGCAGCAAAACATGACATAGCAGCAAATGGCTTGGTAGCAAATGGATTGGCAGCAGATGAGCTGGCATAAGATGACGTGGCAGCAGATGACGTAGCAGCAAATGGCGTAGTAGCAAATGGATTGGTAGCAAATGGACTGCCAGCAGATGACGTAGCAGAAGATGACCTGGCAGCAGATGACATAGCAGCAAATGGCTTGGCAGCAAATGGCTTGGCAGCAAATGGTACAGGTAGGGGCATCTCGAAAATTTTCCTGCTGGCTTTTAACGGCCATCCGGTAGGGGCAGCCCGCAAATTAGGGACTGGTACAGGTAGGGGCGTAACGAAAAGATTTGAGGCGCAAACGACACGGGGGTCTTCTGGAAAATTTGAACCCTGCTGAGAGGGGTTCGACAGGGAAAATCGGCCGTTGGAGGGGCACGACGCAAAATAACGCAAATTACAGGGGCGCCAGACAAATTTTCCCAAAAAAGAAAGTGGAAAACTTGGAAGCGGAAGCACAGAGGATAAATACTCCGGGACTTCACTGGATGTACCTTTGCTCAATCACGACCAGATTCTGTTGAAAAGGTCCTGAGTGCGAGAAACACACACCCAGTGAAAGTCCTACGAAACAGCCTGGCATAGTCATGCTTTTCTTGTGGAGTTGTGTACAGCGAACGTGACAAAACACACACACACCCACACACACACACACAGTGTATAGCGAATATGACAACACAGAGAGAGAGAGAGAGAGAGAGAGAGAGAGAGAGAGAGAGAGTTGCGGGGGGACGGCGGCAAGAGGTGGTTATTTGGATGACTGTACATCTCATTTCGAAGCCCAAAAAGTTGGCGACAGTGGGGCCCACCACTGGCGATGCTTTTTTGAAACTGCAGCAGCTGGTTCATTCTTTTCTTTCTTTTCCTTTTTATTCCACTTGTTCTCCTCGTCTATGTGTCCCCTAGGAGCTAACTTAAATTAAGTTGGGCAACTGCCGCAGCTTGAGTTGTGGGTACAGAGTACCAGGACAAACTGCTCTCCAATGGCATGCAGGATTGCGTGGCTGGGAGCTCTCTCTTATCCGCCTATGTTTTCAGCGGCAGTACAAGGGGTTACCCCATTCGAAGCATTTCGTCGCTTACTACGCCCTTCTTCTTCTCTGAGTACACCTACCCTAGGTTCAAATAGTAGGTTCAAATAAGGAAGGGTATCCACCGTAAGCCCTTCTTATTTGAACCTATTACCTTCCTTCCAGACTCCAAATCCAAAACCATGAGTGCAGCAACAGCAAGGACTATCTCTGACTTCGCAGGTCAGGCTATTCTTACGTAAGCGCTCTCTCTCTCTCTCTCTCTCTCTCGAGAGAGAGAGAGAGAGAGGGGGTGGCGGCAGAAAAAATGGAACAGAATGGAACAGACGCTTATGGGCGTTGGATGGAGTTGGGAGAGGCTGTGGACGGTGGATGCACTGGATCGATGGGAGAAAGAACAGAGCATCGTGGTCGGTGTGAGTTAAATGGGAGAAGGGGTGTCCCGGGTAGCAGGACCCGCAGTAGCAGAAGGGGAAACTGGCGGGAAGCTTTATAGAGAAGTTCACAGGAAATAGAGCGCTACTAGTGAATTCTGAGTAAATGACCGTCAGCTTGTGGAGTTGTGTGTGCGTGTGTGTGCTGTTATATTCCCTAACACACAACTCCACAGAAAAAAAAACTATGACTCTAGGCATCGCTCCACCACTCTCCACGTGCACAAACGACAAAAATCATGGCTGTGTATCTTTCCATGTTCTTGCTGAAAATTCACTCTGATATTGCACATTTGAAAAGCAGTGGAGCGAGGCCCTCTGTCCGACTGTTTCGTCGGACTTTCAGCGACTCATAAGAAGGTTTTGTTTTTGTGTGTATGTGCCTGTGTGTGTGTGTGTGTGTGTGTGTGTGTGTGTGTGTGTGTGCGCGTGAGAGAGAGAGAGAGAGAGAGAGAGAGAGAGAGAGAGAGAGAGAGAGAGAGAGAGAGAGAGAGAGANGAGAGAGAGAGAGAGAGAGAGAGAGAGAGAGAGAGAGAGAGAGAGAGAGAGATGCCAACGTAAGAAAGGGGATGTGGGTCAGGTCAAGGGGTAGGGTTCCAAAATGATCGGGACTTTTTGGAAGGAATCTGGCGGTCATAACGGACATGTACATTTGAGAATGTCGTCAGTTGTAGCTATATGGTGGTGCATAGGTGTTCAGACGCTCCAGTATTCCGTCAGATCACCTTTTTTCTGTTTTCGCTTAACCTCCGGGCCCCCCCTCTACCTCCTTCCCCCACCTTTCGAGCACGTACATTTGAGAACGTGGGCAGTTGTAGCTATGGTTCGTTAATCACCGCGCCGCGATTATGGGCCATGTATGCGCCGGACGCCATGAAAGGTCTATCTAACGACCAATCATTCTATTATTAGATTGTCCAATACAAAACTGATCCTTTTAACAGTTTTTTTTTTTTTTCTTTTTTTTTTTGTTGGGTGTTACGCCGTCTTCAGTCATTACAAGACCGAGTAACTGTTAATGATTATCCTCCACCTTGAACAAATTGCCCTTTGTTACAACTACCGGTGTATTTTTTGTATTTTTTTTCTTTACAATACTCTTTAATTTATTATTAGTGAATTTCGGACAGCAGCAGCATGTACGACATACGGCTGCCTACGGTAGCTATTGTAACTGGTCCCTTCCCCCCCAAAAAAAATAAAAATAAAATAAAAATAAAATAGTAACTAGCCCACGTTCTAGCGTCCTTGGCGCAAAGGCGTCAGTTTAATTTTTTTTTCTTTTTGTTCTTGGGAACGCCAGTTCAGTCTCAATCGATGGAGAGTAAGGAAATAAGTAGTGGTAGGTACTGGAAGGTGAATTGGGAAAGAGAGTTAAAAAAAGACTTCAGGAAATTAAGGAAATTATGGAATATGCTTGGAGGTGGTCTCCTCCTCCTCCTCCTCCTCCTCCTCCTAGATTGATGCCAGAAGGCCGCAGGTCGGTTTGACGTAGTAAATGGTAGGCGGAGGCAGTGAGGGAGAGGCGGGGACTTAGGTGCTGTCACCAGCAGTTAGTCTTCTTCTTCTTCTTCTTCTTCTTCTTCTTCTTCTTCTTCTTTTTATTATTATTATTATTATTTTTTATATTGATAAAAGACTCTGTAGGATCTAATA